TAATAATAATAATAATAATAATAATAATAATAATAATAATAATAATAATAATAATGTGAAGGCAAGATTTGGGGGGAATTCGGGGGGGGGTGTTAGTTTTTTAAAACAATCTTTAAAAAACTATGTTCAGCTTTCCTTACCATTCTTGGATGTTTCCTCCCTTAAAAACGCCATCAATTATTTACTGTATAATTATTATTACATTTTATTATTAGTTATTTGATTTTGGCACCACCTGACTCCAGACTGACTCTGGCCTTTCTTGACCTTTCTGGCTTGCAAGGGATTCAGGCAACAGCAGGGGTATCCATGGGGGCAAAGGGAAAGGTCAGAAAAGTCACAATGGCAGCCTCAATCACGTGGACATAGCCACCTTGTCTTTTTTGAGCCCCCCTCCCCTTCCAAAACTCTTGAAGTGGGTATCTCATACAATTCATGAAGATTTGTAGCCATGAAGATTGCCTAGCTTTGAGTCCAGGAAGATTCAATTGCTCTGATATGAAGTTTTTGGGGGCTGTAAAAATTGAGTTCCTCTGCTTTTAAATAAGCATCTTTATTCTCTTATACCACTACTTCTCAACCTTGGCCACTTGAAGACGTGTGGACTTCAACTCCCAGAATTCCTGGCTGGTTGGGGAATTCTGGGAGTTGAAGTCCATACGTCCTCAAGGAGCCCAGGTTGAGAAATACTGCCTTATATAAATGTATTTGGTTACTGATTTTAATTTTTTACACCACCTGACTCCCAGCAACTCTGGGCGGTTCACAGATCAAAGTGAAGAAGAGTGTGGGGTGAAGAAACTGTGGCCCCCAGATTTTGCAGGACTCCAATTTCCAGCATAGTTTATGGACAGGGATGATGGGAGCTGTAATCCAATAACATCTAGAAGACCCCAGATTACTCTTTCTCCAGTTTCCTCAGTCATCAGCTTTACAAATTACGCCTGTTGTTCTTTTCTCTTCGCAATGATCGGGACAGTGTATCTGAAGACACCTCCTCGGAATTATTTTTCCACACGTGTGTGTGTGTGCCTATTGCTGTTACTGTTGACTGCACAGTCAGCCAGAGGTTTAGACTGGATCTGGCATTTCTGTCCACCCATCGAGTCCTTCCCAAGGACCTGGGAGAGGCAGATGGGGTCGTCTGATGGGGTTCCAGGTATCGTCGCAGGATGTGAGCTGTCCAAGTGTTGTCGTTGTCGTTGTCGTTGTTGTTGTATCCTGCTTCCCCCCTCCCCCGGAAAACTCAGCTTTTAGGAATTTTTTTTTCGCGAGGGTTCCAGGTCTCTCTTAAGTTTAATTTTAGCTTCCCAACAATCCTGCGGGGTAGGTTGGCCTGAGAAACGGGCTGGAAGTACCATCTTCCTGGACCTACCTATGCAGAGGAGAAAACTAGTGTAAAGATTATAGGCAAGACTCCTTCGCCGCCTTCTTCCTTCATCCTCCTCCACTCCTCTTCCTCTTCTTCCTCTTCCTCCTTCCTTCTCCCCCCGCTCCTCTTCCCTCTCTTCCTCTTCTCCTCCTCCTCCTCCGCTCTGAGTTCATCCTGCGGGCGACTCCTGGGGAACGCTGCAGCCAGGCGGGTGAGAGACCCAGAAGAG